GTATTTTTACATCTCATGAGCAGCTTTTATCTCTTTGGCAGCAAGCTTAAATAATTTGTGAGCAGAGATGGGAGTGAAGTTCCAAAATGTTGCACTAATGTGACTGTACAGGTCTTCTGTCATGAAAAATCAACAATACAAGAGTCTCTAATGGTACAATTTTTCGTTTGGGATGGACTCGATCCTTCACCTTGCTCTTAAAGCTGCAACAGAGTTTTGATTGAATTTTTATTGTGCTGCAAAAGCTGTACAGACTTGCATGGAACAGCCTGAGCAATTGGATATAAACAATGGGAATATTCACATTGCTAACCATATGGTGCTATGGTTACCACCAGGTTTATAGCCAAACAAAGCTACAAATGAGCAATGTTTTCATCTTGCCTATTTTGGTCTAAAAAGTGCCAATATGTTTGTCAGTTGTCTACAACTGACTGTTTAGTGAATTTGTCAAATCTTAGCTATATTCCTTAAATATTTCTGATTTTATAATGAGGTTATGGCATAGATTAAAAAAATCTAAAACAAATCTTGGGACAGTAAAGCAATAAATATACAGGATATTTACATATGTTACACAATACACTGCTTTAGTGAGAGAAAACATATCATGACAACACATATCAAGGCAGCACGGCAATGGACGCAATAATGGTTGGATCCCAGGATTGATAGTACACGAGCAACAGGGTTCCTGGAGTCCACCTGGTATGGAATGAAAGAGTTTTCTGGCAAGTTAAAAATTAACAGAACCCATAAACAGGGAATATACACACAAATATGGATTTTTTTTATGTATATCTCTTTAAATGCGTAGCTGAATGTATGCTTGTGCTTTTTATTCATTGCAAATTTTTTTTTTGGCATTATTTAATATGTTGCATATACAAGGTAACTGTTTGTTACTATTATATAGTCACCTGACTTTCTGCTGATCATGTGATCTATAACAGCATTGTTTCTATGGTTACTAAGTCACATGACTTTTTCACTTTGTAATTACACCAGTCTCTATTTTGAATCTTTGGTTTACCCTATATAATGAAAGCACAGTTTGTATATGGTGACTTGACAAAGGCTGGGAGCAAAGCCAAAACGTTTTTTCAATTTGTATTATATATAAATATCCATACCACTATATGAAAAAGGTACCACAAAACAAAATCATACATTAATAAGGAGCACATCACTCGGCTATCAGTATACTGAGAGAGATAAAGTATAGAAATCATCAGCACTTCTAGGGCGATTTTCACATTTGGCTTATCATAAGAAGGCCATAAGAAGTTAGATTGCACCAGACTTGGTATAAACACTTTAGCAACTGAAATGTGTAAGAACTATAGCGAAACTGTTTTGATTCTTATATTAAGCTAGAGCTATGAGGAAACTAAGCATTCAAATGAAATTTGGATATGGCATTATCTGTCTAACGTTGGCAGCAAAGTTGTAACCTAAATTGTAGCCGGCGGACAGATTGTGCAGCCTGGGGCTGTGAAGATCTCTCCATAGGGTTGTTAGGCCACCTTGGTTCCTCTGGTGTGATTTAGTAGTCATTGTCAGTTCGGCCATCAATCCAAGACTCTTGAGGAATGTCTCTGGATTGTCTGCAGAAGTCAAAGTGAGTATTGCATTCCGTTGTGTGACCAAGAGAGAGCCCTCTATTCCCCATCATTACCTGATGGAGTGGTCCCTCAGCCATTTTGCAATGGGAGCCAGTTGTCTTCTTTCTGCCAAGACTTATGGGAGGTTTCCATTTAATGCCACTGAGCAGCCCTCAAATTGTACTGTCCCCAGGGCCCTGGAATGAGCAAAGATAGCGGATCTTGCTGCAACATCTTTTTTTTTGACACTCACATTTAGAAATTAATGCTGGTCAGTTTTTCTTCTTGTGTATCACCATTGTGTCATTTCCTCAGTAATAAAATAGGTGATTCAAATATTTATGATACTGAAGGGCAGAGGCGGCTCTCTAATTAGGTGATTTATGCGGCCGCCTAAGGCCTTGTGCTGGCTGGGGCCTTGCGGCCGCCTAAATCATCTTAGGGAAAACTTACATGTCAGGTCCTCGGGGTTACCATGGCAACACTCCGACTGGAGATGGTGAGACTTGCCATGTGGTTTGCAACTCTCTCTCGGCGGAGCTGCAGACCAGAATGTGAGCCCACGGACCACCAGGGAGAGAGACACTAGACCACTAGGGGATCGTTAATGACACAGTCCCCCCTACCCTGCCATAGCCTCCCTCTACCCTGTCCCTGTCCCTGTCTACCCTGTCACTGCCCTCTCCACTACCACAGCCCCCTTACCCTGTCTCTGCCGCCATTCACCCAGCCACACTCACATTAACCGCTCCAAATCTCACCCACTCCAAATATACCAAACTCACACACCCTCGCTTTGCCACACTTACCCTATCACATTAACCCCCGTTGTCACACTCTCCCCCCTCAACCTTGCCACACTCACCTCCACTCGATCTGTCACACTCCCTCCTCCAAACTTGGCACATTCACCCCAACCCAGTGATACATTCCTTAACTATGCCACACACACCCTGTCACATTAACCTTCTCCAACCTGTCACACTCACCCTGCCATAGTTACCCTTTACTCACCCAGTCACAGCCACTAACTGAAGTCATTCATCATAGACATAGTCATGAAACGTAGCTTTGCCATAACACAATGCACAAAGGCCACAGGCCGTCACCATAAACACAACACACCGTAAGCAGCTACCCCACACAGATATACAGTCTCAGACGCATGATCACAAAGACTTAATCACACACTAGGATACTCTCTGCCACACACACTTTCAGGAACATGCAAAGGTAGACAATGACAGGCACACTTAGAAATATACACATCATCACTTACGTATACACGACTGCAAGGCTATGTAACCAAACCCTGCAGTCATGTATAAACGATTAGTATACTTGCTAATTTAATTTATTTATTACAAATTAAGTGTGCAAATTATGTCATAACTTCAGTCAAAGAGCTCACATCACAGCAGCACAGGGAGCCGCAACACTGCAAGCCTCTGAACATTGAATACAGAGACTAGCTCTCTGTATCCAGCGCTGCAAGCCCGTCTTTCAATATAACTACAGCCCCTTAGACAAACAATGCAACACCTATTTATTTTTTCTCTTAGGGCCTCATGTTTGAGTTTTGCCTAAGGCCTCACATAGTCTAGAGTCGCCACTGCTGAAGGGGAATGCAACTAATCTAAACATTAAAGATAAAACCTGAGATAAGGCATGATGTCTAACAGCAGAATGGGGAGGAATGTTACAACCCAGAGACAAATGTATACATAATTATATATACATATACACACTATCCACTTATAACTTACTATATTAATCATATATAATTAGTACTGTTAATAATATAGAATATTCATGGATATAATATCAATGAAGAAATATCATATTATTTACTAATGTTAGTGGAGTATAAATAATCTTAAACACAGTTTCACACAGGAAAACCAGACACCAATGACAGGTAACACTAAGTAATTAATTTTACATTCTAAAAAAACAAAAACTAATGGACTCTTACAAAGTTCTATTGTAAGAAAGAGGTGAAGAAGAGTTTAGACAGGTCAGAAAACTAGATTTAAAGGTATATGCCAGACACTAAGCCTGGGTAAGAGTGAACCAAAGTCTTTGAAGTTGACAGGTCTTTGATATATAGGGACCATAAAAGATAACCAAAAATTACGTCAAACGCATCACCAAATTCAGTTAACCCATTTTGCAAAAAGGTAAATGGACCCCCTGACAAGAATTTTTGGTGATGTAATTGCACCATCTACAGACCAAAATCTAGATGATAGTCTGTAGGGAAGACACTCCCACAGTGCCCTATTGGTCCTATCAATTAGTGACGTGCAGAGAGTTTTCCCCTTTAAAAAGTAAGGACAATGGGAACAGAGGAAACATATTCTGACTCTCAAACTCTCGGGGACTTACACATTCTGACTCTTGGACTGTACTCAAGAAACTCTCAACACTCTCTTGGACACACCTAATTCTTACTATTACCTTTTCCAACTAACACAACTTCAGAACTCTGAAAACTTTTCTAGTTTCCACAATTCTCATCATACTTGCATGCGAAATTCCTGGGACATATCTACACATCTGATAGAAAATCTACAACCTAACTGGTAATTATGCTGGTTTTATTTAATTAAATTAATTATTTTTTACTAATAGCAGGAATATGTATCTGGATATATCTTGGTCAGATTTCAATTATTAGAAATCATAATTAGCTAAGGAATATATGGTTATAAAAATTCCATTCCTGCAGGTGGAATAAAGATAACGATATATTAACAGTAAATTTGCCAAATGTTAGCATACCACATTTTTATCCAGAGGTATTGACTTGTTCTGATATAAGATAGTGAATCTTAATTAGGAAAGTTAAAATTCAGCAAACGTAAAATCTGGTAGAATTATTCTTACCATTCTTACCATGAACATTAATTTAATTGTAAAATTGCAGTATTATGGGATATTTTGCCTATGAAGATTGTAGCCAACAGTGGAAGAGTTAATTCAGTGTGATTTAACTGTCAGCCAAAGTTTTTATTGCTTTATGCTGCACTGCTTTGTGTTCTGTGAAGTTTTGTCTTCTCTGTGAATTTGGTTTTTAAGTGTGGTGTCCCATCATAAATCTTATTGTTAAATTGCATACAACCATTGCTTTTAGCTGTCTGTGTTGTGAAACCATTGCCATATTGTATACTTATGTTTTTTTTTTTTTTTTATTCTTTATTTTTGGTATGCAGGTAGGTACAACAGTGCCTGTATCGCCACAACAGCATCAACAGGCTCAATTATCATAGTTATAACAGTTGTGTGGCATGTTAAGTTTGCATACATTTTTTAAATAAAGTAAGTAATTGTAGAGTAAACAAGCTGTTATCAATATAGCTCTAGGCTCAACAACAAATTTTGTTCCTTTCTAGGCATTCATGACATTCCTAGGTACTTACAGGTTTAACAATATGTTGAATGATTTAACAGTTATTTTTCAAGCTATGGCAACCGCATTCTCGTATCAGGGTTATGTAGTCGCTATGAAACAGGTTGGCAAGTTAGTGACACTTATACTGTAGGTACCCATATCGAAGTAAGCTTGTAGTGAGTAACTTGTACAATGTTCTGATATATGTTAACTAGTTAAAGCATAATAAAGATTAATAATTACGTTAGCTCCGGTTAGGTCACTGAGGGGAACTAAATAGATGAAATTAACTTATGTATATTAATATTGCCTCGTTTGGTACCGGCAAGCTGGGTATGGCAGTAAGTCCTGAGGGGGGACATGGGTACCTCGCTCGAGGGCATACGGCACGGTCAGCCAATGCCTCGGCTCGGCAGAGCCATACCGTCTCTGGAGAATCCAGATTTCTTCTGGGTGCGTCTCTGTGGCAGATCAAGCTGTGGTTGTCGTCTGGCTGCTCGTTTGGAGTCTATGCAGCGTCTGGAAGGTGGAGTGCCCCTTCGGCCCTGGAGCTGTGTGAGGGCTGGTACTGTCTGACCACGAGCCTGGACTCCTATAGGGTTCAGGGACTCCCCTGTTGGGGTGGTGCGTCGGGCCTTCTGTGGGTCAGGTGTATGTTGTCGCGTTTTCTTTGCTGCCCTCCGCTTGTGTGGCCTGTACCTGTGGGTCTGGACCCGTAATGCCCTCAGCCCAGGCAGGCGTCTCGTGCGAGGTGCAAGTGTGAGGTACAGTGTTATGCCTTTCAGAGGTATCCCAGGCCTCCCTGTGCTGCAGGCTTGATCTGTAAGTGGTGTTTGCTTAGACGCCGCAGATTGCGTGCGGGCCTGGAGCCGAGCCCAGAATCTGTCAAAAATAGCGTTAAGTGAGTCTCTTGTATTGAGATCGGGCCTAGTCACTTCAGGCTGCAGTATTCGCATGCCGCGTGTATCTGAGTCCGCTGAGACCGCCATTTTGAAGAGCTTCTCCTCCGTTCTGTCTGTGATCACTGTCGACCCCCTTGACAGGTACATGGCGGAGCTATCTTTCTTTCGGCGGGGACCGGGATATCCCCCACCGGTCCACGGGGGGGGGGGAAGGTTAGAGCTTGCTTACGGTTTGGAGCAGCGGGCGGGAAGCGGCCGTCCTCCCACCCTACCATCTCCTGTAGGCCTCAGCCCGCTGTCACGGTTCCCGGGTGTTCCGGGTGTCAAGTTTGGTATCCGCGGGTATGCGCCGGCTTCCCCAGTCTGTAGGGCTTTTTTAGGAAGGAGTCCCAGCACTGTGATCCGAGTTATTACCCTTTTAGTGTCCGTGCAGCAGGAGCTCGTGCAAAGCATGTCTTGCTTGCTTACTGGTCAGGCTCCGCCCCTGTATACTTATGTTATGCATAAATATTCACTGATTATTGTCACACATGTTACATTATTATTTTTATTATTATTGTCACAATATATTATAGTTTTATAATTAATTTGTGATTACTGTGTAAAGTTAAATCTTGTAGTGAAACTTCCTCTAGGATCTAAGAAAATTAAAAATAGTGAATAATTCTCAGCTTTATATCAGTATTCGGTTCCAGTTTCCCTCTTGCATCTCCAACAAAGATCACTAATGTTGGGTTGAAACTTACTTAAACTGTCTGGTGTCAGATACCATCTGTGTAACATTTTGAGATAATTTTCAAACAACAAAATACTATGAATAGTTTTAACCCATTCACTGGATACAAATTCTGTGCTCAGCTCCCTTTCCATTTCATAATCCCACGAAGCTTTGTACCCGTTTTGCTCATATACAATAATTCTCTAATAATTATAATAATTATATACAATAATTCTCTAATAATTATAATAATTATATACAATAATTCTCTAATCTTAGAAGACAAATTGGAGCCATTATCTATGTCATAGAGTTTATCCAGCTCATTTCCGCTCTTAATTTCCCTATTTTAAAAAAAGTTTTTTAGTTTAAAGTAAGTAAGGTATTCTTTCCTGGAAATTCCATGATTTGTCCATAGAGAAGTGAATGGTGTAAAAATCACTCCGTCAAATAAGTCTCCAATATATACAATGCCAGCATTTACCCAACTCCTTTATAAAGATATAGGGGCAACGTTTCTTCTATAGGAGCATCTAAGGGGATACATTCTTTACTATTATGCTTCCGTCTTACAAGATGGATATCATGATAAATTTCACCTAAGACTTTATTTTCCACATTAAGTCGTTTAACAGCCAAGTTATCTTCCCCCCCAAAAAAAGAAAAAGGTTCTTGTTGGATAAAACTTGTCTTTCATAACCTAACCATAAACAAGTTTCTGGGACCTAAAATTTATATGTAATCAAATGGGATAGCATTATGGAGTCAAAGATCAAATATACATCGGGGAGGGATGTTCCCCCATATTTTAACCCCTTAAGGACACATAACGTGTGACATGTCATGATTCCCTTTTATTCCAGAAGTTTGGTCCTTAAGGGGTTAAAGGGACACTATAGTCACCCAGACCACTTCAGCTCAATGAAGTGGTCTTGGTGACAGGTCCCTCAGGTTTTAACCCTGCAGATGCAAACATAGCAGTTTCAGAGAAACTGTTATGTTTACATTGCAGGGTTAAGCCAGCCTCTAGTGGCTGTCTTCCAGACAGCCACTAGAGGCGCATCTGCGACGCTGGAGGCATTTAATGCCTCCATCATGCAGAGCGTCCATAGGAAAGCATTGAAAAATAAAATGCTTTCCTATGGACACTTTGAATGCGTGTGCGGCACTTGCTGAGCTCGCGCATTCGGCTCCGCATTCAGCTTCGTCGGCATAGGGAGCTGACGTCGGTGGGGGAGGGGAGGTCACCAGCGCCGGTGCTGGAAAAAGGTAAGCTGCTGAAGGGGTTTTACCCTCAGGGCACTATAGTGTCAGGAAAACCGCTTAGTTTTCCTAACACTATAGTGATCCTTTAAGTTGCAAGACAAATTTGAGGAGGAAATTCTGGGTCTATGCCTCCCACATACAAACTTAATAAATAATTCCTGGAATTCGTGTAGTGTACATTTGGGCACTCTCATAGTAAGAGTTCTTAATAGGTATTCCAGTTTTGGCGCTAAATAAGATCGTACTGCGTTTATTCTCCCCAGCCAAGATATATATAAATGTCCCCATTTGTTTATAGTAAGTTTTAAGTTCTGATATAAGTCGTTATAATTATTGTTTACTATCTTAAACCAATTGAAACTTAATTTTATCCCCATATAAAGCATTTAATTAATAAACAAATAGGTAAGAATCTCCCAATCTATGTAGTTGGTCAATCGGGACACTAGAAGGAATTACTTGTGTCTTTTTAAAATTGACTTTATAGTTAGAGATTCTACAAAATCGTGAATGCATTTCAAAACTGCCAACAGAGATGTTTCTGGATTAGAAAGTGTCAGAACTACACCATTTGCATATAACATGATCTTTCAAGTCTGGTCGCCATAATGTGTTCCCAGGATTTCCACCTTCTGTCTTATATAAGCTGCCAAGGGTTCTATTGAAAGTGCATACAACATTGTGGCCAATGGGCACCCTTGTCTCGTCACATTAGCTACTCCAAACCATTCTGAGTTGAACAATGTTTGTGAACATTATCGCCTCCCTCAAGGTTCTTAACAAAGCCTGTTTGATCAGGATGAACTAATTTGAAAATGAAATCCTTTAATCTTTTCGCCAGGGTCGTGGAAAATATTTTAATATCGCTATCAATAAGGATATGGGGCGATAGTTAGTTACGAAATTAGGATCTATGTCTGGTTTAGGAATCGGGTTTTACAGGCTTGTAACATCTCCAATGGGAACGGACAACCATTATCTATTTCTCCAAATACTTTTTTGCTGCAACATCTTTAGTGACTAATAGTATCTCTGGGTGGCGACTGCCCTGCAGACTCTTAAAGCTGATATCACAGACGAGGGGTCAGCACCTCCTTTAAGGCCCACTGAAGCAATCAGCTTCTGGGTAAAATGCAGCAGTTTCTCTCCTCCAACTCGCTCAGGGACACCTCTCAGTCGGATGTTCCTTCTTCTATGTCTTGATTCCAGCACAGCTAATGTTGTGCTCAGCCTTTTAACCTGGTAAGTAAGGCCTTCCACTTGCAGTATCTTGTATCTGGCTTTCTTTTTGGTGGCGTCCAGCCTCCACTGGATGATCCCCATTTCTGCCTGGGCTTCCTTAACGTTTGACTTCCACATCTGTGTCTTAGGTCCAGCAGTAGCTTTTTAATATCTACTTTTGTAGAAGTTGAATAGTCTTCATCCAACTCAGACTCTCTCTACACTGCACCGGACTTGTTCGAAACATGAGACTCCACTTCTTCATGGGATTCTTCTGAGGCCTCAGCTTCACTTTGTGCCTTGGGCACCATCTTGGTTGGTATTTGATCCACAGTTTTTTCAAAAGAAAGCCTGATATCAGACAAACCAGAGCGCTCCAGCCGGTGGGATTTTTTGTGTTTGCGCCCCATACCTTCATGTGGGGTATAGATGTTTACAGAATAAATCCCCTAACCATGGCAAAGCCGAGCTCCGACACAGCTTCATTACCTGCTACTAATGTTGCCATATTCGCATGCTACCATTTGTCACCGCATTTTTGTGACACATATCACTTCTTCATAGAGATTTACAGCACGTGAAGAGTGCTACCCAGAAGTATGTAGGAATCATATTCTGCAGGATTCCACAATGGATCATGGCTTGGTTTCTTTTCTGCAAAATTTAAATTCTACATACTGCAGGGCACTACTTCTTGTGTTAGTTATGTGACATTTTGGAGCACTCTAATATAAGCCACTAATATAAACTCTCACTGAGTTATTCACTAAAGTGAAAATTATCCAGAATTAAAAGTGATTTTCAAATTTAAGGCCAAAATAGCCAAACTGCAAACAGTTTACTTGGTGATTTTTTTTAATTCAGCTATTTTGGCCTAAACTCTGAACTTACCTGGAATTCCTGACTTTTATCACTTTAGTGAAAAAACGACATTTCTTTCTTTAAGTGAAAGTAGATGATCATAGAAATTGTTGAGCAGCAGTAAAGTAGCACCTAGTTTAGTATTTCCTGCAGTTTATTCATTGGGAACCTTCAAGTGAATTCTACATCACTGGATAAGAAAATTAAAATCTAGAAAACAATGTATGCAAATGGATCAAACAAAGGGAGATGAAACAGATACAGAAAATTACAATTGGAAGGCTTCAAGAATGAATCACACTGTTGCTTGAAAAAGAAGAATCTATAATGGATTGCAAAAACATAAAGAAACCTCCAGGTTAACCATTCACAGCTGTCGTTTTTACCATTTCTTATTAGGACACACAAAGCTTAAAATTTCATGACAATTGTTATGATGCAAGTGAAGATCCAGATAAAATATTTTCTCTCTAAAATTTCCAAATGAAAGGAAAACTCACAGAATCTTTTATTAGTACTGAAAATGAAATATTGCGTGTTAAATAGCTTCTGTGTGCATAATTTTGTAATTAATATTTATTTATAAAATATATTTTGCCAGGTAGGATACATTTAGATTTCTCACGTTTTCAAGTATGTCCTGGGTATATATGTTAAACCCCCATGGTGCAATCCCTGCTCCGTATGCAGTATCCTTGTGTTAAGCTGAGGTGACTTATGCTCACAAAGTACAGCACAGAGGTCTAAAGAGGCATTTTCCATAAACCAAGTCTCACAATGTGCGAGTAGGTGCCTGATCGGAGCCAGATTAACATTATGATTATGGAACCCCTGCTCCAGGTCCATGTCCAAAAATAGGCCCACCATTTAAAATGGTAATTAACCATCTGGCCACGAAGTTAGGCCAACATGGGAGATCAAAGACTTACCCCTGCTGCCCAAGGAGGGAGCTGTGACATTCCCTGGCCGGTGGGGAGCTCAAAGGGCCTTTCCCACAAGTATATCATCACTACGGAAATGCTCTGAAACTTTGTGTGGTGCAGCAAGTGGTCTGCGCCTGCTGGGGTTACAGCCCGTATTA